ATTCCTTACAACCAAACACTATAAGAATTAATATAAAATGACATTATTTCCCCAACAAAACACACCCTTGAGCGAAACTTTGAAGATGACGAAATCTAATAAATAAAGCCATAATTCTCCCGCCTAATTAGTTAGGTGTTATCATCTACTTCATGTCTCTCTTTGTGAAAATCGGCTCTCCATCTTCTCCGCCTCTCTTTCATTTTCCTCATTCCGTAACTAAACTTTCTATTCTTTTTACTTCTCTGCATTCCCATTATTTCTCGCTTATCTTTCACATTTTTATCCTTTCTTTCTTTGTTTATTTTTTATATAAGGGTTTCGGTGAATTTCCAAACGGCAGCATTTCAAGGGTTTCTTTCAAGCAGAAGAAAAACTTTTTTCTAAATCCTAACAATTCTCGAACCCTGTGCCCCATTAACGCCGATAACAATGTTAGTATCACATCTCTTTCTTCAGATCTTTTTTATTTTTATTAGCCATTGTCGAGGGCTTTGCGACCACCGTTGACTTATGTAATGACCAAATTGTCCCTAAAAATGAGTTTCTACAAAATTAAGAAAATATATCTATTTTTTTTTTAAATTAACTTAACATAAAAAAATTCAATAAAATTACCGAAAACATATTTTTTTTTAAAACAATTAAAAAAACCCCAAAAAACATATAAGTTTAAAGAAATTTGTTAGACTTGGTAGATTTCTTATTATTTTCCTAAAAATGTTTTTATTTTTTATTCTTTTAAGTTCTTTTATGAATTCAACATAACTTTTAAGATTTTTTGGTATATTTAAGAAAAGTTTTAAATTGTCCAGGCCTTTATTTTCAATTTATAAGAATGTAATATTGTTATTTAGCCATCAAAATGTTAAATTTAATGATAAAACTAACCACAAGGGAAGTGATTTTTAAATTTATTTTTTTATTTATTTTTTTTTTTAGGATGTGTTTGGTTAAGTGAATCTTGTATTAAATGAAAAGATATATTACCTTGAAGATTACTTGGAATGTTTAGAAAAATGTGCTTAGTTGGTTAGAATAAATTAGTGGGTATGTTATATTAATTGTTTGGTTGAAAGGAATAAATTGATGAGTATATTATATAAATTACTAAACATTAATATAGTATTATTATTATTATTATTATTATTTTTGAATAATTTCTTTTAAGCTCATACATTTAAAATTTAGCTAAAACACCCTAGCAACAAAAAAAGTTTAAACCTTAACAAAAACACCTCCACCCATCAGTAATAACTGTTTTATATTACTATATTCACAAAATACATATAATAAAGTAAAGGTACATTAATAAAAATAGTTGGGCCAAAAAATTTTCTTTCATTAATATACATAGTCTTTACATACATTTAGTATCATTTACAAAAGTTCTCAAAAACGTAGTGGACGGTGTAACTACTCTCCCTCGCCCGCTGACGTCCATCCGACTGCGTACTCACCTGGAACCTGCAAAAACATAGAAACAACGGGGTGAGCACAACTAATGCTCAGTAAGTAAATCTTCTACTTGTCTATCCCCGTAACATTTTCTTTTAATTCTTTCCTTATACTATTCTTTTCTCATTTCTTTTTTCTTTCTGTTTCTGTTTCTCGTATTCTTTACTATACACCCTCTAGTGTATGTCACGGCCTCATCTTACCGGAGGCACGGCCGGGAACTCAACCCGCTTTTCGTGACTTTACTATTTTCTCTTTCTGTTCTTTCTATTTCTATTCTTTCTCATTCTTATTCATTAGAATGTCACGGTCTCATCTGACCGGAGGCACGGCTGGGCGCTACCACTCTACGTGACTTCTGCTCATTTATCTACCGATCGGATTTAGTCATGCATGGATTCGGAACCTTTGGCCATGTGAGTGTACATACTTTCTCTCTATCTCTCAAATGTCACGACCCCTTCTTACCGGAGGCACGACTGGAATCTCATGTTCCACTCTGCGTGATAGTCATGGCCTCATCTGACCGGAGGCACGACTGGGGATCACAAAGCACCCACTCTCATGACTTTACTCATCACTCACAAGTTCCCCATCGCACAACTTACTCTATTCTCTTCTTTAACTCTTGTGCACAAGATCTCTACTCTTTCTCTAGCTACTCATCATAATGTAGCTTAACTCTTAGAGTAATTCTCTACTCTTTCTTAACTTTTTCTCAAGTTCTCTCTATATGCATAATTAATGCATATGGATGGTTCATGCCTATTAATGCACTTAGGAAATGCCAATATGCAATGTTGCATTAATGAAGGTTCATAACTCATTCTCATGCTTCTCTTAGGCATTTCATCCAAACAACTCATGTGCTATAAAACTCTTTTCTAACTACAACTCTATTTCTCTTTTTAACCATCCAAAATTGGAAGTAAAACTCCCAAAATATATGCTCATTCTCATCTAACTTCATCTCAACTCATCACATATCCCACTCTTTATAAAGGGAAAGTATCCAACAAACTCAACATGAATACTTATCTCAATCTAATTCTCAACAAGTAGACATATATCTCTACCAATTTCTCAAATACATATAAAAACATGCATACTCATTTCTACTAAATCTCTACTCAAAAGAATTATCAACTCAACTTGGGTTGGGATTTACTTACCTTGTGATAAAACTCTCACTAGTATTTCTTTTCCTTTGTTTGCTTGACTTTTCTCTCCCTTTAAACAATAAAACCACAACTTTAATATACAAAAATACACAAAACCTTACATCCAAAGCAAGAATCGTTACCTTAGGATGACTTAGCTTGATTTTCTACTCCAATCACTCCAAAAAGCCCTTTCAAAATCCTTGAACTAATGAAAAAGGAATTGAGAGAAGTAGAAGGAGAATGGCGGTGGAGAAGAAGATGATAATGGGTTTCTAAAGTTAAACCCTTATTTCTCATATTTCTTCATCCTTTCCCATTTTACCCTTATTCTTTCTTAAGAATTCCACTTTTGCCCTTTTAATTCCTTACAATTGCACCCTCAATTAAACTATTCCCATGCAATTACCTTGCATTTCACTCCCCACTTTTCCTGCTAATTAGGAGTAGAATGGTCATGTGCTCCAAGGAAGAATTCTAGAAACTTCATTAAACTTTTGTTAGGCTCGTCGCCGCGGCGAAGACTATTTCTTCGCCCTGGCGAAACTTCACAGAACTTACACTGTGGTTGCGGCCTCATCGCCGTGGAGACGATTCTTCTTCGCCCCCGAAGACATGACCCCAAAATTCCACCAAGTCTCTACAATTTCAAGGCAACCAAACCATAAACAATATTCGAAGTCAAACAAGGAAAGTAAGAGACATTAGCTACGTACCTCAAGTGGGGCGTTACACCACTAAGCCACTGCCGATGGCTTGCTACCACTATCGGCGGGGTGATAGTGGAGATCTGGCTGTGAAATACGGTCATTTCGTAGCCATATCTGTGACCGTCTCACGTCCATGTCTTTGTTTGTGAACGGTAAATCTGACAGTTTTCGGTCGGTTGTCTCTATTCTGTCTCACTAGCGGTTTGGATCTGGCCACCACCCTGGGTAATTTTTTTAAATTTTAACGATATTTATTCCTAAATACTTTGTATATAAGGATAAAATGTTTATTAGTATTTTTGTAAATTGTTTTTAGAACAAGGATATTTTGTTTTAAATTTTATTAATAAGAGTAAAATTGTAACAAAAATAAAGTATCAATAATCTTAAAATACTTAAAAAAAATATAAATAATCAAATACTAAATCTATATACCAAATTTATATTCTTACAACCAACACTATAAGAATTAATATAAGACATTATTTCCCGAACCCCACAAAACACACCCTTGAGCAAACTTTGAAGATGACGAAATCTAATAAATAAAGCCATAATTCTGCCGCCCCCCTAATAGTTAGGTGTTATCTCTACTTCATGTCTCTCTTTTGAAATCGGCTCTCCATCTTCTCCGCCTCTCTTTCATTTTCCTCATTCCGTAACTACTTTCTATTCTTTTACTTCTCTGCATTCCCATTATTCTCGCTATCTTTCACATTTTTATCCTTTCTTCTTTGTTTATTTTTATATAAGGGTTTCGGTGAATTTCCAAACGGCAGCATTTCAAGGGTTTCTTTCAGAGAAGAAACTTTTTCTAAATCCTAACAATTCTCGAACCCTGTGCCCCATTAACGCCGATAACAATGTTAGTATCACATCTCTTTCTTCAGATCTTTTTTATTTTTATTTTATATTTTTTTTTATAGATTAATGTGCAGGACTATAGTTGAAACTATTGATTTTGCTCAATTTGGTTCATTAATTTTTTTTTTTTTTTAAGTTTAATATTCGTTAGTAGCATCATACTTAAAAATGATCGAACCCAAAAGGAGTGGTGTTATTATGATTTATTGTTGATTTTACCCAAAGAATATTCAATCAAACATGGCGATAGTTAAAGGGATTCACTTGCTTAGCTATTAATGAATCCACACACACACACACACACACACACACACACACACACACACACACAAAGAGAGATGGAAAAGAAGGCCTTCAACAATTACTTGATGTGGTTTAGAAATTCATGATTTTTATGATAGAAATGGAATTCAAATAGTTCGATTAAATTTGCTCATTTTCTCATGTATCCTTAGCCTGCTGGTTTGTCTGATGCTAACACGGCTTAGCAGATCATGAAGGTACTTTATTTACTTGAACAAGGTTTTTATATGTTATATGTCTCTTACTTGTCGTTTTTACATCTCATCTGTGTATTTGTGGCTGCTGCCATTTCCTCTGCAAACTTCAGTTCCCTTAATTTAACTTGACTAGTTTTGAAGGTTCAACGGAAAAACGGAAGGGTCAGGGAGAATCATTCTCATCTAATGAGTACTTGCTAGTTGCCTTACACTTTTTTGCTCATGCTTTAGGCTTCTGTTGTTTTTTTTTTTTTTTTTTTTTTTTTTTTTTTTTTTTTTTTTTTTTTTTTTTTTTTTTTTTTGTGAGATGATGATAGTTTAGTTTGTAACTTGGGCTTGAATTGCGCCCTTTGATGATGTCACTGAAGATGAAGTATTTTTTATTTGACTAAATATTGCTGAGAATACTTGAAGAAATTTGGTGTTTCAAAGCATGATATGAGTCTTGCTGGACAGAAATTAACAGATGTTTATGGTGGCTGGTTTGCTGTTGTTTTGTTTTGGTTTTTGGCTTTTCTATTTTTTTTATTTTTTGTTTATTCTGTAATAGTGTATGTTGTTTCTACCAAAAAAGTTTTTTATGCTGTACCAAGCTGCAAACAAGCTTGTGCTATGATACGGCCTGGTAGAACTTATAACAGAAGAAAAGTAAAACAGAAATGTTGTTTTGCAACCATGTACAATGTTTGGGGTGCTTTAAAGCTGAACTAGTTATTTTGTGGTTGAAACTTTGTGATGAGACAAAAAGGAATCACTTGAAACATGCATAAATGCTTCTCACTTTGGTGCTGTTGATGCTGTAGATTGTTTGATTTCGACTTCTAATAATTTTAATTAAAAATCTTAGTTGCTATACAAAGTGCAACTGTTATTTGGCTATATACTCGCACTGACATAGTTTGCTAATGTAAGGAAGCATTATGCCAGATATAATTTAAGTCTCTGAGCTCATATCCCTTGACCTTGTTGGTCTGCCACTTAAAAGAATTTTTTAATGAGTATAAATAGATGTTCAAAATTTATCTTAATTGATTATTTCTTCATATATTTATGTTTATTGAGTGTTCCACTGATCGTTTTAATAGGAAAAGAGTGCTAAGGTGGGGTGGGGATGATAGAATGTATATCTAATTTCTATGTTTTTTCTGAGCATATGTGCTCACAATTTTGTGTTGTTTGTTAAACTTTTCAGGGTATTGAAGAAATTAAGGAGATATGGAATTTCTGGAATATTATCGTATGGACTATTGAACACAGCCTACTACCTCACAACGTTTCTCTTGGTGTGGTAGGTGAAATAGTACCTGTAATGTTCATGAATGTGTTACTGATTTTTTTTTTTTGTTATGTGTGAAACATAAGAACTTAGGCTGTGTTTGGACATTATTCAAACTCTATCCTATCCTACTATCTTACCAAAAAAATGAAAAATACATTTGTTTTAATATTCTCAAAATCCAACCTTATTCTATTCAGCCCAAAACTTTAACAATTATTTTTTTCAATAAAAGTTTTAAAATTAACAAAAACACCCCCACCTATTTCAATAAAAGTTTTAAAATTAACAAAAACACTCCCACCCACCCATTAAATGTCGGTAATGACACATTACCGACTGGATCAGGCCGGTCATGCGTCGATCTGGCCTTTTCTGGCCAGATCAACTGTCAAAGATCTGGCCATCAACGAAGGCCATATCTTGGTCGTTGTTAATGGCCAAATGACGACCAAGATATGGCCGTCGTCAACGGCTAGATCTTTGGTTGTTGATTTGGTCATTTCCAGCCAGATCCATGGTGGATATGGCCGGAAAAGGCCAGATCCATGGTGGATATGGCCGGAAAAGGCCAGCACAACTGACCAAATCCAGTAGGTCGTGCGCCATTTCAGCCACCATCCGGCTGTGGTAGCGGCTGTCGGCATTTAATGAGTGGGTGGGGGTGTTTTTTTTAATTTATAAACTTTTATTGTATGGTTGTTTAGCTAAATTAACAAATGTAAGAGGTTAAAAAATAATCTAAATATTTTCAGAAAATGTTTTCCAAAAATTTACCAAACATATTTTCAAATTCTCGTAAAAACAACCCAACTCAACTTTTTCAAAAATACTATTCTAAATACTCAAACAAACATAGCCTTAAAATTTGAAATATGCATAAATGCTTCTCACTGACCTAGCTTATGTAGGTTAAGATATTTACAACTTTAACATACTTTAGTAATAATTGAAAGAGCTCTTCTGGTTAACATACCATACATGTGCACACACTACGCACCTAATCAAATGAATTTCCATGGTGTGATTAGTCTCATCTACCAAGTCCATGTTTTGAGTTAGGCATGCACACAATAAAGCTAATCTGCATCAGCATATGCTTGTAACTAGTTTCCACCACCAAGGACCATGTTTGGAATAAGTCATGCCCACACCAAGATCTATCATTGTCTGCATATCCTGTAATTGTTCTACAACCAAGGCCATTGATGTCAAGAATATTACATAATGTTGTGCCATGATCTGCCGCCTAACTCAGGCTCCCAACTCGTGCCACTGCTTGCTGGTGTATTCTAGCCAAAAACAATATTGATCATGCATATGTTGAATGTCAGACGGGTATTACCAAAAAAAAAAAAAGAATGTCAGACGGGAACCTACAAAATCAACCCTAAATCACTAAAAGTTAGATTTTTTTTAGAAATTAGCAACAAAAGTCTATTCCCATTTTTTCATGACACCGTATAGGTTCTCTGAAAAGTTCATATAATCATTGTAATGAGGCACCACTTCACTTGCTTTCCAGGTTTTATGTGGCTCCAGCTCCTGGAAGAATGGGTTATATTGCAGCTGTTGAGAGGTGAAAGCTTTTCTTTGTTATGTTTCTGATAATGAAATTAATGTGAAAATTTTAGTGATTTGCAGATTTCTTAAAGTAATGGCCATGGTGTGGGCTGGAAGCCAGGTTACTAAGCTTGTGAGAGCTGGCGGGTGAGCTACTAATTAAAAAATATCTTTCTGCTATTTAGTTCACTAACATTGTGATGCTCTTATATTTTTGTATGGTAAAAAATATGTTTGTCTAGAATTTAACTTGTCCATCTATAGCCCAGAGCAAGTTCATTTAATTAACTTCTTAGTGTCATTGGTCCACTTCCTTACAAACTTTGGCCTTAATTTTCTTTTTTGTGTTCATATATTATGACTGCATGATTATGGTACTCACTGTCAATCTTGAAGTTAAAATGCTTTCAACTTAGTTGGGAGCAGATATAGAGAAACGCAGTGTGGCAGAAGGGAGAAGGGGAATGATTGTTTCCAAAGATAATGGCAAATTAATCTTTTTAACATTTGGATTTTTTCGTGTTTCCAAAAATTATTAAAGAAACAATTGAATGTCAAATGTTTCATTTATACTTAGGCATGTTATTATGTTAGCTTCGGTTTTGCTTCCTTGTTATTCATCCGTGTTGAGTTAAAATTTGTTTATCGTTCTGTTTTCCATTCGTCATAAAAATGTTCAATGCATCCTGCATCAAATATCCAGTTAATTCTCTAAAGAGGTGCCTTATTTGCAGGGCCCTTGCCCTTGCACCTTTTGTAGACAAAGGATTGTCTTGGTTCACAGTCAAATTTAAATTTGAATCTCAGGGAAAGGCAAGTGACTCTTAAAATGTCAAGATTATCGTATATTCATCATTTGTGAGCTTCTCATTTATTTCTAGCTATCTCCAGGCTTTCATGGCGATTGTTGGATTCTGTTTTGGTCTGGCTCTCATACTATTTTTCTTTGTGACATTGCTTTCGGCATGAAGCAGACTACTATTTCTCTCGATTTTGTCTTTGCTTGGATGGAGAGAGTCTTCTTAACATTTGCATTTCATCCAATTAATAATCTTTGTATTGCAAACATGGTGCTTCCATAATGCAAGTTTCTAATCAAGTTAATTTTGTTATTTCAATATTTTATTACATCCGGAAGGTTTAATGTGATAGATTTGCAATTCATCGACCTACACAAATTTGGATACATAAAAATTATTCTTTCAACTTGAATTTGTTGCAGTTCTATCGTATAATATTATTCTTTTAACTTATATTTGTTGCTATTCTATTGTGTAAATTGGCCAGCAAATCTTTGAAAGAGATAGCCACTAATCTTATAATTTTTTCATGAGAAAGTTCAAAGCTGGAGACAGTACATATCTTCAGCTGAAGTATGAGCCACTGATATCCCGTAGATATCAATTTTTGTAATTTTACCCTTCAGAAAATATGATTTCAACGAAATTCACTTCTTTCCAGTCAAGTTCTGGCTAATGCCTTAAATACATTACTTTCAGACACAGCTGAAATTCCATTAAAAGTAACAACTCTAAAATATACAGCATCATAAGTTCCATATGATGAATTATGCAGTTTCGATAAAAGTTACTTTCACTTAATGGCATCCTGATCTGATTATGACTCAACGTCTATCTTCTATTCTCAGTCTAAACATATTGAAATCATGTTTCAAGCTTTAGTATTATTATGTGGGAAAATCAACATTTTGCAGCCATGATACAACTGAATCAACTGTAATATCTATGATACAAGTGTACAGTCCATTCTAATATACAGAGAAGTTACCCATTAGTCGACGATTGATACATTGGCAGTTAAGGTTAAGCCACCAACTGCTCTTTCCGTGCAGAATTCTGTCTTTAAATGTTGAAACTTGCAATTTGCCTGCATATAAAGTGGTGCATGTCAATGTCAATCAACATCAAAGCATTTTCAAAACAAAGTTATGTAAAGCTGTTGGTGTAAATAAATATAACCAAAACAAAAAGATGTGCCTCATCAGTTGCATAAGCAGGGGCCATTTTGGAGCACGTTAGTCAATCAAAACTTATCTTCTGACATACCAAACCATACAAAGAAGAACAAAGAAATACTTGAAATCACGCCTCATTGCACTTGCGGTAACTCTTTTAGCTCATGGAGCAAAAAGAAAAGGCAATTCCTATAGCTGTGTACAACACATCTGGGAAGTTCTGAAGATCAGCCTCGCTCTTCTAAGGAACTTAGGAACTTTTTTGAACTGCAATTTTTCATTTTCAGAGAGACTTGGCAAACAGACTTCCATTTGCACCACAAGTTTATAGAGCGCTGGAAGGATATTTTTAGAACAAGGTGGATACACTAGGGTTTAGGTGGTACAATAGGTTTAGAAGGTAGCACCAAGCACAATCACACACTTTCAAGTTGATTATTTAAAGCAGAGCAAAGCACAGATGGATTTGTGTATCTATTCAAAATCTTTTCCTAGGTCTCTAATCATCAGAAAGCCGATACAAAATAATTTAATTTGAAGAAACACCAAGATCAGTAGCGGATCCAGAAATTTTTTTAAGGGTAGGCCAAAATAAAAACTAATTACACATTAATATTTTTGTTAGGGCGGGCCAAAATCCAAAAAATATATACATTAGTATTTTAAAAAAAAAAAATTGAGGGTGGGCCATGAGTGGGCTGGATCCACCCCTGACCAAGATGCATGTTAAAGTTTACCTCTCAAGTTGTTCTAATCCCAAAAAGCTGTATCTTTGAAATCCTTCCTTGGGACGATTAAAAGTTGTCTGCTTGGTGGGTAGCAACTTATTTCCTACTTCATCTGTGCATGTCTCAAGACCACAAGCATTGCAAAACAACTCCACATCTGACTCCTGAAACAACCACATGCAACTATCAATATTCAAATTGTATTAGCTCATCAATATTAGCCATTTCATCTACTGGATATCAATCCATACCTCCATCATCAAAAGCTTGGATAAGTGCATCACAGGATACGGATGAAGCTTATAGCCGCAGTTATTTATACAGCACAGAGCAAATGCTCGAACCTATAAGGTCAATCAATCAGTTGGTTTTTAAGGCACCGTGAAAAGTGCCACATAAAGTGTATTGAAGCACCTTATTATATCCAAAATCAACATTTGATTGAAAAACAATTATAACCAATAGGAAAGATATAAATTAAAAATTTTAAGAATGTGTATAAAACTCATATAACTAGAATTCCAGAAACAATGTTCACCAAGAAATTCAATTACTTGATCAATATAAGGTTCAATAATGCAGTACTGTAAATATGATGCCTTGGCAGCAGCACAGAGAAAACGCCTATAATTGCCCATGCGAAAGTACCTTTTACACAATAATACAATTAGAGCAGTCAATATTTCTTTTCTATTACAAATTTAAAAATTCAATGTGATTAAAATATATATCTATAAATTTAGATAAACAGGAACCCCAAAGGCATTGAATATGTCGAAATTTATTGTTACCGTAAAACTCGGCGGGCAAAACACATTTCTCTTGACTTGATTATTGAAGATGGGACACGACGAAACCACAAAGAAAGTGACTCTCCCTGGAGATCAGAAAAAGACTATATTTTATTAAGCTCAAGGTCCAGCAAAAGGCACAATTAAAAATTATGAAAAATGAATCACGACCTATAGAGTATAGACCAACCGTTGCTTGGCCATCAGAATCAAGATGAAGAAGCACGTAAAATGAATAGAATTCAGCTTCATTCCCAAAAGTGGAATTGGAACCCCGATTTACTTCATACAGATTATATAGAGATGTTAGAGCTTTTGTAAATTGCTCCAAGTTTAGGTAATGCACTGAAGAAATACTTGAACTGGTGCAACTACTTCGAAGCTTGTGATGTGATATTACATGGAATTGAACCTGTAAGGTGAAAACATAAGCACTTAATATTAGTTAAAGAGATTGCTTCCAAGCTTATAGATGCCAACATAGACTAATAAGGTATTAAAAATCAAATAGTTCTCATAAGTGCATCTCTGCAAACCTGTCAAGACACATGGGGTAATTTGAAGTTTCCAAATAGATTGAATATATATTCATTGGAGTTCTCATATTTACAAGAGGGTCAGTTTATTTGACTGAAAATATGTTAACTCAAGCTAGAAACATTTATAAGAAAATCACCACAGGACAACAATGAATTTTGATTGTGTTCATAATCAACTATGTTGACTTGATCACAGCTGGAAATCCATAAAGAAAAATTGGATTCTTTAACATATATAAAACTCAGCTCAAAGGGGATTGTTCTAAACTTAATTGTCAGCTGTTAACTAAACCATAAAATATTTTCACTTATATTTGTCTTTATTTCTAAAAGTATGACCTTTTGCTCAACGGGCAGTAACAAATTTAATTGTACGTAGCAACCAATGATTTGGAAATAAAGCAAAAATTCTGCTTATGCTTTTGCTCTATCTCAAATTTTTAGAGTAAGCCTACTCTGATTAATTCTTCAAAGACAGCAGCATATGGTCTCTATAGTACTACCAGATAACAATAGCTTTTATTTGTGTATGTAATGTCCTTGATGTGACAGCACTCACTATACCATTTTCAGAAAGGCACTTATGTTAAAGGGAAAAAAAAAATCTCTCAGCTCTATTACAAGAAAAGTGACTCCAACCCATCATGCAAAAAGCTGAATAACAACTAATATACTCAAGATAATTTTGCAAAACCACATAGAGAGTAAAGATTGAGAGGTTTCTAACCATTTTTTCATACATGTGGACTACTCTGTCATTAACAATATTCTGCATGGTAAGATCTTGCCTTATTGACCTTGTCCTATCGAACACAAAGTCATGAATCACTTCAAAAGGGTGTTCCTTAGAATCCAAGAAGTTCAAAAGATAGTTTAAAGTGTCTTCCAGTACTAGAAGAGGGCGTACTTCCGATGCTTGCACCTGCTTGGCAGACATTGTCCTGCAAAACTAACAACAGGTGAAGGTTTTTGGCATCAGAAATAAATATTTTGTGGCATTATATAATACCATTTGAAATCTTGAAAACTGATAAAAGTACAAAATTTAGCATCCCTTATTCATCATGCATCAAAATCCAAACCTAATTATCACCCATTGAAAAGAATGTTCAACTACAAAAAGAGAAAGAACACAGATACACATACAATACAACCTTTACCAACTTAGCTAACTATGAATTACAAGAAAATCTTGAACACAAGCATCAAACATCCATTTACACTTAGATTGAGCAACTAATAAACATGAATTAAGAAAAATTAGCAAACTTCACATACTTTTTTGACAGCCAGAACTGGAGATGACTTGCTAGGATCTCCATTAAGTCTTTCAAAGAAAGCTAAATCTCTTAGGCGCTGGCGCTGGACCCTTTCGTCCTCTAGACATTGCATCACAAGAATCAATAACAATTGCAAAATAAAAGCGATATAATGTAAAAATAGGAGTCGAAATGTAATACCCACCTGGGCACATAAATGGGCAAGTTCCCACAATTGCTTCTGCTTGTACTTCATCTTCTTGTTTGGTGTTTCTTCCACCATGGATATTAATGGAGTTGTTTTCGTTCTTTGGGGTGTTAATTGAAAAGTTTGAAACTTTGGTACTCTTAGTTTGATTTGAGCGGAACCCAGTTGAGGAATTGAATGATGAAGATGATGGAAAATTCTTACGACGTTGACCCTGATACCGTCTGTCCATGTCTTCACCTTCCCGGCTTGGCTTTGTGCAAAAGAATCTAATCAAGAACCAAAAAATTAACTTGTATAAAGAGGAAAGGATAATGACGTTATTTACCGGAAATATTGGGGGGCCATATAGTTTTTCTAAACCTCGGGAACTAAAAGGTGATACTTACTGGTAACTGGAGAAGCCTTATATTTGCTATTGCTAATGATCTAAAAAGGATTTTACCATAATTTATATATAGTTCATGAGAACCGCGAATGCATGTACGTAAGAAGAAGAAAAATTATAAATGAGAATAGATATTTAAATTATTATATCAGATTGAATTAAGAGATGATTATAACAGCCCAATTAAGTCTCAGATCATTACGATAAAGTATGCCGATTGTGTTTGTAAATATTTGAGTACTTTTTTTTTCTTTCCGTGAAAGGTAAGTAGGTTATTGTAATGGAGGGTAATATGGGAATTTCAGGTATTAAAATTTATTAACCATGGTTAATTAAGTGTAGTTAAGTTTAACTATATATTATAACTTGGCTATACTCAATTACCGGTTAAGATGTAAATGCAAGAAAAATCAGATTAGAGAAGAAAGATGACCTAACACCAAGAAATTTCTCCAGGCTTTCGTCGAGAGATCTGTTAGTGTTGTTGCGATTTCTCACACCAACGAGAAGTACGTAAGCCTTCGAGGGTATTTGCACAAGAGTCTATTAGAGATAGAGAAATATAATGTTGAACCAATGAACAATGATAACAATAATGCAAGTAAATGAATAAAAAGAGTAGACAAAATGAATTTTTAAAGTGGTTCGGATGTAAAGTGTAAATCCTAAATCCACTATTATATTATTGATGTGTTTAGTGTTTGCAAAAGCCACTTACTCTAAACTAAGGCAATTGCTTGTCTGCATTTTCTGCCCTATGTTGTCGATGACGATGTTCGCTGGGCGAGCTAGAACTATTGCTCTCAGTTGCATTTTCCTAGTTTGGGGTTGGCTCAATGATATTTTGATGGCTTGGGGCCAAACTCCCCTACTGTGCATTCTTAATTCCGGCAACATCTTGCTGAAGGGCCTGCACTAAATTGTTGAGCAATCTCAACATGTCTATCACCACATTGTTTGGGTTGGAAGTGCCAACCCCTTGCGGATTTGCTGTTAGAATCGGAGCTGGGACCAATGGTGGGCGATTCGTTGGGGCTGCCTAATTAACCTCTTGGTGGCCTACCCCAGCATTCTCATTGAGATTGTTTCCGGTGTTCGTTGTGGAATTTTGGTACACACCATGGTTGTGAAACGTCGGTTACATTTGGAAAATGAAATTGCATAATGTTGGCCCTCTTTTTAAGGCCAAAATGTTAATACAAAAAATCGTATCAACTTGAGAGATCCGATTGACCTTGACAGAATCGAAATTAGTTGCTGCGTGATTATATAATCAACAGGAAAAATAAATGAAAAGACAATAACACTTTTAAAGTGGTTCGATGAGCTAACTCTCAAGCCTACGTCCACTATTCTTGTTTTGAATATGAAGGATTACAAGAATAAAGCTCTCCTTTTCTCTCTCTCAAATTGCTAACTCCTTACAATGAATTTTTTAGAGTTATTTATACATGAAATTGATTCTGGTAAATGAAGTGATTCTAGGATTGCGGCTTAATCATAGGAAGTTAATCCCATGATTGGCGTGACCACACTTTATCCGGAATTGTGTGATAATCGAAATTTTCTCCTTGATTTTAGGGATAAGACTTATTTGTAATCTGTGAGACCGCTGTCCAATTAGCTCGCTTCACCGAGCATTGCTTGCTCGTATCCAACCGCAACTTGATAGTCATAGCTCGCTCATGTGACCTGCCATAAACAACTCATCGCGAGCTTGTCGTAAGTTCTCACACAACACTAAGTATATATATATTTTTTTAATTCAATACTTTTATAACTATAAAATTCGTTTTTTAATCAAGTTTTCTTGTATTAAAAAAGCTTAATTACCTCACAAGTATCGAACTATCACTTTTTTCCTATTAAAGGTATCAAATTATTTTTTTTCCTGTTGAAAGTACTAAACTATCAATTATTTCTATTGAAGGTACCAAATTTTAAGTTTTTCTTATTGAAAGTATCAAACTTTCATATTTTTTTCCTACCTGTTAAATATGAATGACATGACATTTTTTCCATAAAAAATCGCTGACATGACAATTTTGGTGTACTACACATTTTGACATAGCAATTAAGGTTGATTTAGACATTTATAATCTAAAAAAAAATGAACTTTGAATTGATCATCTTAACGAGCTGAAACAAGAATTGGTGCTGATATGCAAAGTTGCACTGTATGTAGGGATTAAACTTGTTGGAGGGGATATGTTCTCGAGCATTCCAGGCGCTAACACCGATGCATAAAGCTGTTGAAAATTTGCTTGAGGCATTGCCTGAAAATGTGAAGTTGATTGTTTTTCAAATAAGTTTAAATTTGCATTCTAATCAGAATGAAGTATTTCTGTTTGTGAATTGTAATTCTTATCCTCTTTATATTGTAGAAGAGGTCCAGAGAAAGAACCCCTGTAATTTCTCTGGTGCTCTTCTTATAAAAGCATATGTGCATGAAATGTGATGGATATGAAGGATGTTTAGAATCTAAACTAATACTAAACATAAACAAAGGCTTCAATGTCAATCATGAAAATAAGAATTCAAACAATGCAAGAATTGGACAAAAAGCTAACTGAAAACAGTAGACAGCAGCCCGTTGCACATTTAATTATATAATGGGAAGCCAAAAGATGAATGTCCACAAGTACATTGTTGCGAGAAACAATGCGAATAAGCAAGAAAAACAAGAAAAGAAGATGATGACCTTACATCTACAGCTAGCTTCACTTCAGAACTGAGGCTGGAATTGTTTTCTGGAAACGTTTTCTCTGTGTCACCAACTTCTTTCTACCCATACATGCTAACCTTGAGAACATCTAATATCTGTACATTCACCTTCAAACATTGAAATTAAAAACGTTTAATGACTAAACATTTACCAATGAAGTATTCCGGTGATTCTATAAATCTATATACCAAAAATATCCCAAGGTTAGGCCCTAGTCATTTCCACCACCAAAATTGTCGAAACAAATATATCTTTCTCATTCGAGCATTGTATGTCATGAAGGCTCTGGCTTTAATAGGATCTGCGTTCAAATACTCAAAAGCATACATCTGTTTTGCCTCTTCCAGACCATCGATCTCCATCACAGCATCCAACAGTTCTGAGGCATTAATTGCAGTTTTACTGCGTTCCAAGGCATCGGCTAAGCGCCGCATGCTGGATGCAACAGCCAACATGGCATCCTGAAGAGCCTCTGAGCCACGAGGTCGCTTTGGAAGTTGTCTCAGAGGTGGTACAAGAGGAGGATCTTGACTACCATCTTGCATATACTCTGGGGATCCAGTGTATGATTCTGTTCCATCTGTATCACTTACGTCTTCAGAACTTGGTGAAAGAAATGATGCAGAATCATCTTCACAGTTCTTAATTTCAGTTGGATGGCTTCCATCCTTTGTCTTAGCCCAACGACTAGGTGCTTGATAATTTCCACAAACAATTTTTAGCTCATCATACATCTCAATTTGCTTTCCTCGAAATCCTCTTGCATCAGGGTGCACCTATTCCATTGATTTGAAGCTCATGAGTATTAAACAAAAGAATCACAAAGTGGGTTAATTTAATACTAGGAGGGGAAATTACCGCAAGGTATCTCTTCCATAGATCATCATCTTCACATTCAATCATCTTCGTATTTGGGTTCCAACGAAATCCATCTTGACTGAGCAAATCCCTCATTACCTTATATCTTTTTTTAATTGTCTTTAGACGATTAACAACTTTTTGATTATTCAAGTTCAAATTAAAACGAGAGTTCACTGCATAACAGGCAGCGGAGTATGCATTCTCATTAAAGCATTTGTCAATTTTATTCCCAGTTCTAGCCTGAATCGCAAGAGCTTCAATTAGACACTTGTCCATTGCAATTGACCACACAACATTTCTTCCTTTATGCTTCATCTCCTTTCTCTGTCCTTGAAAGTCATATTGGTCCATTCCTAAACCAGTAAGAAAACAGATAACTACATATTTGTGCTTTTTAATACGGCACAATTCAGCACACTGTTCAACAGAAAATCAAAAGCATCATCCAAGCAGTCAGTAAGATATTCCAAGATCATCTACAATAATGATGACAACAATGAAAAAATGAAAGCAGGAAAAGCAGAATGAGTTTGTGCACTGGCAGTACATGCCTATTCTTTGGCTTTGAGAATGCACCAAGAAAAAAAAAAAGAAGAAGACTGCACCAACAGCCAACTTTAAAAATAAAAGCAGGATGTTAAGCACACATTGCATTCAAGTTAAGCTTGTTCAAATTAAAAACAAACTTAAGAGAGAGAAAAAAAAAGCACATTGCAAACATGCAATTTCTGTTTATGAAATTGACACTTCACCTAGTAACCACTCATAACTAGAGGCATTCTAGCTTCCACAAACTATCATAAATTGAAAGAATATTCCAGAAGGACTAAATTAAAAAGTAATAAAAATTTTATATATGTGCTTCCTTCCATATTCCAGAAGGACTAAAAACCGACTAAATTGAAAGAATCTATATTTCCAATGAGCAACTCACACTAGAGTTTGTATATGCGGAGTTCAGTGTTGATCCCAGCTTTATAACAAAGAACTCCATGAAAGGCTCGACGGTAAACTCAATCTAAATAAGAACCACAAATATCAATTCTAACCACCATCCAAAAAGTATCAAAATTAGAAAACTAAATGGACTTCATAAGGGAACACAAAAATAAAAGGTAGAAATATACAAACTCCGTAAAATGAAACCATGAAAAAGAAAAGACTTGATTCAACCTAAACCTACATCATTGATGATAACCTGAATCTAGGCTCAGGTATTGGAATTAGCCTTTCCATGCTCTCTAAAACATCCAAAGTCCAAAGAGTAATTTCGATGACCTGTATCTAGGGAATGCATCCCCATCTTGCTAAAAACCAAAAAATATGAAAACAAAAACATAAGCACATTGCAATAATAAGCTTAATTAACAGCATTTGATGCCAAATTTTGTCAAAACTCTCAGCCATACCTTTAATACTCAGGTCACAGTTAGGGGCAGAGCCAAAATATTGCATGTAAGTGTTCAATAAGTATTAAACAAAATTTGTGAGGTCAACTTTAGGGAGCCAAGATGTAAATAGTACTCCGATGACTTAATAAAAACTGAACATTTTTTTTCTTTTCAAAACTTTGTGAGGGTCGTGCTGGCCACCCCTAATGCTATAACGCAGTTCTGCCCTGGTCCTCATAGCGATTGTGGAATTCTACTCACTAACACTACCACTGCCACTTAGTTATAGAAAAAATCATCAAAAAGTAGTATACTACATACATCAATTTATAGTATATAATTTTGATCAACTAATAGTATATTACATACATCACTGGTCACTGTTTCGGTACACAGTGAAATCACCGTTATCTACATGAGAGAAAGAGACAATATGATATAGAATATTCAAAGAGTTATGCACTGCTTAACCAATAAAAATAACAACAACAACAACAACAACAACAACAATAATAATAATAATATTGTTTTTCATACCATATTCATCAGTACATAACATATCATTGAATCAAGAGACAAAACATTGCTATAAAACAATTAAGAATTTGACTTCAGAATAGTTTCAAAGTCTATCTAGGACATGCTATATCTCACTAAGAAGTGGCTAACATCTTTATGCAGCACCTCATACAATGTCTTTTACTTGATAGGACATGCCGTTTAAATCCACTTGTAGTTAAAACTTATTAAATTACGGATAATGGATACATTTACTAATCATAATAGCATCCCAAAATCAAAATATACCATGTGGGTTATCTGACCCGCCTTAAACTTGTATATCTGAGAAAATTAAATTATCCACCAAGAAGAAATTAGTCCTTGAACCTGACTTCACAATTCACAATCTTAGGAGCATTAGTTGAAAGCTAAAGCAATCCCTCATCTACAAAGCTTCTTCCAAGTGAAGCAAGCATTTCTTGAATAGGATGATATTTTCCATTGCCATAACAAGATGGACAAGTCAGATTTAACACATCTTAAACTCATTTTACAGTAAAGATAAACATTAACTTAAATAAAAGGTCAGTAAAATTTGACCTTTTTTTAATTTTCAATTGTTCTGACCATTCTTTCATCTAATTGCTTTCAGAATTTAGTCAGCTAACAAAAATCACAATAAACAAACACTGTGAAACCAAACAGTGACTCTTAAAGTTTTAGAAACAAAATGATCCAACAGAATTCAAATTTTGCATGCTAAATATTACTTCAATCATAAACTCAAAAAACAAAAAACAAAAATGACAAAGCTAAGAAGCATCAATCAAATCACTCGTTAACATAAAACAAAATTCACAGGATCATTGAAACAACATTACCACGCAATATAATTACAACATGCAAGAAACTACAACAGCTCTATGCAAAAGGTCAACAATGTTGACCATTTATATAAAATTTCTCACTCTAAAAATATCCAGTGAGCTCTAAAATGAACGAATTTGGGCTCAGAAACACATTCAGAGAGTTGAATAGATACCTGAGTGAATGAATAAGCTCGATATTTGATCGCCGAGAAAGAGGCGGAGGCGGAAGCGGAAGCGGAGACGGAGACGGCGTTGAGAAGATCGAAGAAGGAAGCTGTTATTCTTCAATTCATTAGACGGGAGTTAGGGTTTGCTTTTCTCTTCCTTTTTCTCGAGAAAAATTATTTATATAAAAAGTGTTAAAAAATTTTCCCAACGGAGAAAAACACTTTCTCGAAAACCAAACGAGTGTTGAGGAAAGTTTCTGACTGCTGTTACGGGACAGTCACAAGGTTGGATTACCGACCTGTCATGAACTGCCACGTGGAAATAACTTTTATTAAGGGGATTCCTTATAATCGAAAATTAATTGAATGTAACTAAAATATAATTAATGGTAAATAAAATGTTATTATCCCTATAATCAATATATTATTATTATTTGAAAATAATTTTATCGATATATTTAATTAGTAGTATAATAAAAAATTAAAAAAAAAGCTCTCTTGACAAAATAGGCTATAATATTATTTATTATTGAAGAAAATAATTTTGTTGATTAACTACTTAACCTTTAAGAGTTTTTTTTTTTTTTTTTTTTTAAAGAAAAAAACTTAGTTTTAAATTGTAAACAAAATATCTTTTACTAGGGATTTTTAATACCTTGTGTTGTGTATGATTTTTCCATCAAGCTCGGTGAATTGTGAGGTATTAGATCGACCCAAAATCAGTCCGACTCTACCGGTTGTTCGACCTAGCATAAGCTCGTCAACATATAGTTCGATCCAACACAAGCTAATCGCGAACAACCAGAACGATTATTCAATAAATTTCCAGATAACTTTAGATCCTAGATATTACAGGAATGACCAGATTAACAACAATCTCTACGCAATCACAGTGTCCAATCGCGAGAATATTACAAAAATTGTCTCATTTGTAATTATCTATTCTTGAGGAGTAAATTGTAATGTATTAATGGACATTATTGCAATTAAGTAGAAGTTCATGATAAGAATATTACGGATAGAGTTTTAATCTAATAAGAAAGTTGTTTTTATTGGAATCTAATTATTGAAGGAATTAGAGATCCTTGAGGATCTCACGCACATATATTTTCTCTATAGGGTTTTGTTACTATAAATAGAGCAACACAAGTTCGGAGTTGGTCGTCATAACTTTTGTACTTAAAATTCCTCAAAAGAGAAGAACTAAAACGGTGAAAATTTATTGTTTATAATTCATAATTATTGTATGCTAAATCTTGGATTTTTCATTAGAATTAGTTTTTGAATAATACAATTATTATTTAATTCTATTAATTATTGATTCAAAAAACTTAGAGTAAACAAATTCTTTCAATGTTTCAAATAAGAGTAATACTACACCAACAATCCTGATATGACAATTCGTAATTAGTCAGCTTACAATTAATTAATAGAACCCATGTAGGATCTGTTGTGAATTGACCAATTACGAGTTGTTACATCAGAATTGTGAGAAAAAATTTGTGAGAAATGATTGTTGGTGTAGTATTATTCTTTGAATAATGTTAGGGCAAGAAGAGTTATTTCTTCGTATAATGTGTAAAATAATATTTCTAGCACCACTTATCTAGTTTTGATGATAATAAAGTATTGATTTGTTAATTGGTAACCTTAATTCTTTTTGGTAGCTTTTATTATTAAAGAACTTCTCAAAACACCAAACATATTAAATAAATTACAAAGTTCTTCCCCCCAACGTTAGTCTCCCTCTATTGAAATTTCTATTTGACCAGATTTGATCGTTGAAATACCCCCTTTATACTTCATAAATCTTTATTAAATAAATTAACAGATAACTTTACAGCCCAAGTTAATAAAATTAACAAAATAACCACATATATTTTAAACTTCACACCAACACCCTCTTCTTCACCACTTTCATTTTCAAACCACAACACACAAAATCAAAACTTTACACCATTAATCATCTCCAAACATATACAATTTTCTAACACACCTACTTTAATTCAGTAAACTTTAAAAAATTAAAATAAATTAGAATCAAACTTGAATTTAAGAAAATTGAAAAAAACTAAAACCTAACATAAATAAAAAATAAAAAAATAAAAAAAAAAGTAAAGAAAAAATTGGGTCACTAGCTTGAATATGGTCTACCATAGCCAGATTCAAAGGCACGATCGTGGCGAGATCAGGCCATGCCGACTGACCCAGGGTAGCGCCAACACTGATAAGACAAGTGCTGCCTAAGTGCCTCGTTGACGACTTTGGGTTATTATGACCATTAATTCTTTTTGGTTACTTTTTAGTTTATATTTCTCAATTTTGTTTAGGTAAAAGTTCACGTGGTGTACATAATGACCATTCTGCTCTTTACATTTAATTAACGATTTCTCATTTTGCGTGGCATTTTGTAATTTTCGCATTCAAGGGGTGGGAAAGTGGTTTTAGGAACTTTGTGGAAAGATATATCATTATCTTGTTCAATTCAACTCACCAAAATACAAAGGTCAGACTAGCGATAATCCCTTGTTTGGTTCATGAGGAATGGGATTCTGATTCCTTAAAAAGGGTGGAGTAGCATTGGGAAGAATGCCATCACTACGAGTAATGAAATGTTAAAATGTCCAATTCACCTCTATGTAAATTCTAATTTTTCATTTTACCCCAAAATAAATTAATTTAAAATTAAGCAAGTTATAATTAATAACTATTTTAAATTCAAAACTTAAAATAATCTCAAAAAACCTAATAATTTTCAAACCGGTCGGCCAACAACTACATATCTATCACCATACCAACAATTTAAGACAATCCAATGGTTAGAGATAATTACAAGTCATTAACTTCTAAGCCATTGGATTGTTTTGAATCAACGAATAAAAATTTGCGTTACAAATAACTTCACCCGAAAGTGTATGCTTGCAACAACACATGGGAAAAAAAAAACAGAAAACAAAACAAAGAGAAAGATTGGTTGTCTTAAATTATACTTGTTTCCTTTGAACAATATAAGAACTTATAAATTTACCCCATTCTATCCATTTCATATGAAACAGTAATTTTGACATTATCTTCATCTCACAATCGTTCTCAATCTACATTTTTCTTTTGATTTAATCTTTACTCGGTCAACTGTAATGTTATCGGCGATTGTTGTGCAAGAGCTGCAAAAAGTAACCCGAATGTGAATTACGAGCAAAAATGCCAACCCTCAACAATTAGCAATGGTGTCAACGGCAACAAAGATTAGCTCACATGTTACAACACTTTTGAAGGAGAAAAATAATTTCGATAGAACAGCCTTGGAAGACTGCAAAATCCACATTACAAGAAGCTATAAATGCTTTTAATCAAAAAAAATTATCAGTCAGCTAACATAAAAATTAGTTCCGTAATGGACTACTTGTGAAAATGGCTTCACGGAGAAGAAAGGTGGGGTGTCTCCTTTGACTGACGAAAACAAGAATTTCTTCAAATTAGTTGCAATTCATCTTGCTTTTACTAACACCATGGATTGATTGATAATTAGTTTTAATTATTTTGATATTTATGTGATCTGGTCGTCAATCAAAATAATCTCGACAAAATTAGTAAATTTTCCGAAATTGAATAAGATATAAATTTTAGATTTAGAGATCTTAATATCAAATTTATTTTCATGCCTATTAATTTCATATTCATAGTACTCAAAGGTACCATAAATTCACAGAGATTATGAGTGAAAACATGAGATGAATTATCAAACCAGTCGTGCAAACTCTCTTTACGTTCACAAATTCTCACCTTTCCTGTTGTGTTGCTTACATTGGACTGTATTAAGAAAAAAATATAAACCAAGATGATAATTTAGTATTTTAATATGTGTTTAAATTATAATTATATGTTAATAATGATTTTTCTCTAAAAAATGTATTTTGAAATTTAAATTATTTTCATTAACATTATAATTAAATGATGTATTTTGAACAATTGAAAGAAGAAAATGCTCTAATATCTTAATAATCCTATCAATAATATTTCATAGTTTTAGATTTTATGTTACTCTCATATTTGCTATGAAGTGAATTAATGTTCATTGCATCAATATTGTGTTTACTAAAAATTACAATCAAGTGTGAATTTAGACCGACAATTAAAAAAAAAAAAAAAAAAAAATACTTGTGGTGGGAATCTGTCACAATGGCGCACTATCGATCGTAACTGGCCTGTAACGGGCTGATTTGGCAATTTAGAAAATGCCAGATTTGACAATAGATTTGACCTTTTCTAGTCAGATCCGGTTGGTCAAGCGTCGTAATGTTAGATTCTGGTAGTGGTGGTCGGAATCTGGCAACTGTGGGTGAGTGAGAGTGTTTTTGTCATTTACAAAAAATTTATATATTGGGGTGTTTAGTTAAATTAGTAAACCTAAGAGATTTTTTTGTTAATTTTTAAATTGTCTCATAGTAATCAACCAACTCTATCTACCAATAATATTTCAAAATAACTAAAGAAACGCAGCTTGATATCCATTATTACTTGGTACCGGACACTTACTTTGAAATTAACTTACCGAAAATAGCGATTTACGAAAGCACATCTGCCATAGCAAAGATTTTTCACATATTGGACACTTTATAAGGAGGCAATATAAAAAAGGCTTGGAACAATGCAATGAACTGTACTTGGATGCAAAAAAAAAACGAGTAACAGAAGCTATAGATGCTTGTAATGAACAAGATTATCAGTCAGCTAACTAGAAGTCAAGTCTACAATGGAGACTATAGGACAACAAAAAAATGTTGCGCTTAGTTATGATCAAACCCGCGAGGTAGAACTTACCTAAGGGGATCCTAGCAATGTGTGATTTATAAGAGTCCGTATATTGTTTTTTGATTAAATTGTCAATCAAAATTCTATATATTTAAGTTTGCAAAGGTGTTTATCATCTTCATATCCAATTTATTTCATGCATTTCGAAGCCTATTAATTTTGTATCATAGTACTCTAAATTGTAGAATGAAAAGGGACTATTGTAACTTAAATTTTTTGTAACAGGATGCGTGAAAACAAGAGATGAATTATATTTTAAATTTTACCAAGAAAAGAAAATTAAATTTATTCTTGGGAAAGAATCAAATTATGTTTTATTGAGAAACTTACTATATTTCCTTAAGACATTTTAATATTGCTCTATTACATATTAGTATTATATTCTCTAT